TGTAAAAAACTATTACAAAACAAATTTCCAAATCGACACGGAATTGATAACATAGGTCGACAAACGCACAAAACTGTAATTTTGACCAAAAATACGGAAAATAAATGTTTTTTTTGGCCGAAAACAGAAACATATGAAAGTAAGTCTTGGAAGGTTTTATGCTGATTAATATATGAAAAAAGATATTGTAAACTACATAATTCTACATCATTTTCGGCTTACAATCATTCTCTCAACTGATCATAAATATAAAATCTTAAAGGCAACTCAGAGCGAAATTTAAATTTTCCTTTGATCATATTTTCTGTTCCTATCAAATACACAAATCCACTTTTGTTGGAGCCTGGTGTAATCGGTCAAAGAGTCTAAATGAGCTGCACTCGCCATGTGTGCCCAAGCTCCTTGTTCTTTGGCGCATCTAGCGCCTTGACCTGTTATTTATGCTGACCGCAGTCACGTTCTGGCTAAGTGCTCATGTGTGTTCCTTCCCCCTCCCCTCGTCACCCTACCCTGGTGAATTTGTGTCGACATTTGCCGTGGCATTTATAAAATTGTGCATAATTTAAGCTCAGCAGTTGCGGGTTCCCCTTCGCCAAGCAAAGCAGAGCAAAGCAAGCCAAACCGGAGTGACCGACCACATGAATGATGGTTCCCGTGGAGCCGGCTAAAGGATATTATAGAGAGGGTAGGTGCACAGTGAGAAAACTATTCAATTAGTGCCGATATCGATATGGGCTTGGTACCATATCATGCCGGATTTCTTATAAATTTAAAACCAATTTAGGCCTCAGCAAAATGATGTCTTGAATTTTAAATAGTTAGGAAAACATTTGGACAGCTATTAACTAATCCAATGAAATTTGTATTTGTACAAAAAAATATTTAACTAATATTTTTCTCTCATAAATGCAGTACTTATTTTTAAATAAAATATCATTAATGATTTGACGTAGTTTACATGATATTGCGTACATTAAGGCACCTTAACAAAAAATTTCTAATAAAATGACATCTTTATTTTTTGTTTTAAAAGATAGCAGCTTGAATGACCAATCGTTTTGATTATTTTTTTGCGGTGTTGGGGCAAGGTTCACGTCTCCGGCGTCGACGCATTGCAATTGCAGCTGCGCCGGCGACATTAGGATGTGGGCAAGAGGTGGTGGAGGGGGTAGGAAGGGAGGAAGGAAGGGCGGAAGGACGTCGCCAACACGGCAACTTGAAAAGCATAATGAAGGATAATGAGTTCTTGATTAGTACAAAGTGGAAAATTGTGTATTTTTGCCCTGTCGTGCAGTGCGTATAAGCTTTGACCCATCAGCCGGGAAAGTCCTGCCCATCGACCATGCCACAAACCCCCCTCCCCCCATTCCTCCTCCCCCCAGCAGGCACCAATTAACTGTAATTAGGGTCGCAGAGTTCTGCGTGACCAGAGCAAACAAACACCAGCATTCGCCAAAGTAGGCGGAGCAGAGCGCCCAAAAGTACGGCCAAGAAACCGATCCGAGGTGAACAGATAAAAAGGCCAGTGCATTGCCACTGGTCAAATACCTAAGTGCAAGGCCAACAACACTCGCTTTTCGTTTTTTGAATTTCGATTCTCGCATTTCACTATGCGATATCCGCATTTTCCAGCTACCGCTCATATTCGTGATGCGTATACGTAATGCGTATTATGTATACGCCGTGTAAACAGGATGGCCTCATCTTCAAACACCGCATGGCAAATAAAAACCAAGAGAGGGAAAAAAGCGAAACAATAAAATGCTGAAAAATCAACACCATTTTCAGCGCGCTTCCCTTTTATGCCTGCCGTTGTTCTTTTTATTTTACCACTCGCACGGTCTGGTTTCCCTGACTCTCCATAGTTTTATGTTGCAGGAAGTTGTTTTTATACCCTGAAAGTAAGGGGTAAGGATGCTGTGTACAAGGCTATTTAAATAAAATCTACAAATGAATTTTATGTGGCTTTAAATTAATATACAATTACTATAAAAGGTGTTGCTTGCAATACAACATTTTACACTAGGTATTTTGTTTATTTAATTAATCTACACTTGGAGTAAACTTACTTAATTAGTTCAATATAAATTGAATGAGGTATTTTATACCTTTAATCGTGACAGATTTTTTAAAAAAGTTTCCCACACTAGATCTAAGAACCTGAGACAAAGTTTACAGAGCATCCAAAAAGCGTTTCCGCTTACAATATTTATTCAATTTTCTCGTTTTTATATGGATTGATTTTCTTGTCTGGTTTTTTGTTGGATTTCCGCATTCGCATGCAAATCGACGATTAATCAAAATACCACTTTCCCTCAATTGTTGCTGCAAATTACATTTTTCGCGTTTTTCGCTGACTGAAATGACAAATTTACACAATTGGCAGCCGATCAGGCATTGGCTTCAACGATGTCGATGGCGATGGCGCAAGTCAAATTGCGAAAGTTAATGGAAACAAGTGAGAATCGGGCGAAGCCACAGCAAATACATGCAACAACTTGTCCACTCGGGTCCTCGTGAATTTCCATTCAGAGTATTTCGAAGGAGCGGTGGCTTCTGTGGGCTCTTCGAGCCTCACCACCGGGATAATAAGTGCAGGCGACATTTTGCGGGAAATGTATTCCGAGGAAAAGTCCATCAGCACGTACTTGAAGTGAGATTGAGAGAAGTTTGTGGCACAACTTTAAGGTAGTTCCAGGTTTTTTTCGGCAGCTATCAAAATATCTGTAAACAAAGTCTTGGTAGTGGAATAACTAATGTGGGAAAATGGTAAATGTTATTAAAATCATCGAAAACAAAAATATAATATCAAATTGATTAGTCCATAAATCAATACCATATTTAATTTAGAATATATTTAGGCTACTCCCTCGAAATTTGATATTTTGCATTGCATTGACAACAGTCTTCTACCATGTTTAAAATGTAATAAAGCATAAATATAAATGCCACATCCGTTCTGAATTTGAGTAAGCACTATGAAATGCTTTTCGGCTATGGAGTAATTAAAATCTTATATAAATACAAATCTTACCTGCTGTAATAGATACTGTGTTCGCCGGCATGGCATGCAACTGCCCCTGCCATGCCCCAAATTAGGGCGCTCGTACCACGCCTTCAAAGCCGTTCTCTGGGTGCTGCTCATTTTGACTTTTTAATAACATTAATTAAAAGTGCGCAAACTGAATGAAAGCGCTGCCAGCGAACCATTTCCATCCGCCCCCCCTCCTCCGTCCACCAACTACCCATTGCCCTCTGTCCGTCCGTTCGCCTGTCCGTTCGCCTGTCCGTCCGTCCGCTCGTCCGCCTGAAGAGCCTTCCGTCCGCCGTTCCCTTCGACGCCTCGGCAAACAAAGGTAGCGGCTTCGCGGAACGCAAATGGGGCAAAAATGAAGTAGATGTAAGAACACAGCGAACGATGGGATACACAGAAAAAATAGCATTTATACTATAGATTTTGCGGATATTCATGCAATATTTTATTAACAAACTAACAAATAATCTTTGCCTTTATAACACATATATGTGATATATCAGTTTTTAAATTAAAATCATATTTTGTATAATTTTTAGAACACAACAATTGAAGCTCAGTGGCCTTATTCTTAATTAAAGAGTATGTTTTTTCCCTCAGTGTAGGTGAACGAAACGAAATCAGTAGCAAGGCAAGCCCAGGTTCAGGCCCGAACTGAGGCAACCAAATATTAATGAATGGGTAAATAAAGCGGCCAGAGGAAGGGCACCCAACCACCCACTCAGCGGCCCTCAGCACCACCCAAACCACCCGCACCACCCAACCACCACCCCCTGGGAGGAACTCAGCCCTAGAAACCGGCACGTCTTTCATGCCTTTTCCCCCCGGTTATATCAACGGTATAAATTTCTAGTTAATTAATCACCTTTCGCTTTGTTTATGGCTAATTTAATTAATTTTATGTCTTTTATTGTTTCTTGTTGCTCTTTGGCCGGCCGAAATCGGGAGTCCGTTCCTCTGCGGATACGGCTGCGGATACGGATACGGCTGCGGATACGGATGCGGATGCTATGGAATTGAAATGGAATTAAAAGAGGAAATAAGCATAAGAAAACTTGAGTCTTCAACCCTTTGAAACTTTGTACAAAAGTCGAAAAATGCGATAAGGGGCAAAACAAAAATAAGAAAGAAAGCAAAGTTCGGCCAACCAAATAATACCCTTGCAGCGGTTGCAAATATTAAATGTTCTATATTTCGACTTCAAAAATATAAGCTTTAAATACTGATTTTGTAAGATTTAAACCACAATCATTTAGAAGTATGTCACTTTTAAATCGGATGTCTGTAAGAAAAGTTAAAGGCTTAAAAGTGCAAGTCACTTTTCTGCAAAGCCATTTTTCAAAGATTCGAAAAGGAGTTACATCATAATAAAATCGACCTAAAATCCAAATCAAGTTAAAAACACAGATTTTAGAAACACAATCGTTTAGAAGTATACCACTTTGAAATCAGATGTCTGCAAAAAATGTTATGGGCTTATAAGTTCAGGTTATTGGTAACTTTTATGGACTCAATTTTCGAAAGATTTGAATTATTTTACTGGGACTTAAATTCATGATGATAATATTATAATGATAGAGATTCAATCGATTAGTTGAACTTAAATTTAATTTTGTAATTGAACTAATTTTTTAAAATCATACCACTAGCTAAATTTTGCTGTACGGTGTTTAAATTTAAGCTGGCTTTCAGAAATAATTGCTGCTAAATCCCCTTGATCTTTCAGTGTATCGCCAGTGTAAATATTACAAGTTCGTTTACACTGGTACTTTGGCTATAAGGCGGCATTTGAATGCCAGCCACGCCCCCTACCGCCCCTGCCGCCCATATGCATTTGCCTTGAAGCGCCGCACACTTTTTCGCCATTTGGCAAGCCATTGACTTGGCTCTTTGTGTTTCTCTTGCGATTTCGGATGACTTGCACTTGGCGGCGGCTTTCCTCGTCGAGTCTTCAGGTTTCTCGGCCTTTTTTGTTTGTATACATACATATTTATTTATTGTTTAAAGCATAAGATACAATACAATGCTATAATAAATTAATTATTTACTTTAAATATTTGTTTATACACGAGCTGCGAGCATGAAAAGGCACTTTTCACATGGTAGCTTCTTTGTTCTCTTCGTTGGTGTGCGTGTGTGAGTGTGTGTGTGTGTTTGGATACCCCCCACCCGTCCCCTGGACTTTCACTTTATGGCAACTGGGGGACAGATGGAGCTCCTCGCTCCCAGCTCTTGGCTCTTAGTTGATGAAGATGAGGCAGCAATAAATAGGTTCAAGCGGCGCTGATGAGTTCGATGCTAACTAGTGGTGACTGACTAATGCTTGGCCTCCTCCTCGCCGACCACGATCGGTTCGATCTCCTTGACCTCGGCGGGGGTCTCCTCCTCGTTGTCCGGGCTCCCGGGCAGCACTCGCACCTCCACGCGGTTGGAGGAGCTGGAGGCGGGCTCATCCCCCTCGTTCTCCTCCTCCGCATGGGTCTGGTCGTGATCCTGCTCCTGGTCGTGATCATGCTCATCGGAGCGACTCTGGGCCTTGTGGTTCTGGGGCACACTCTGCTGGCTGGGCTGCTCGATGGCCGTGAGGATGGACTGCAGCAGGCCCTGCGAGAGGATCTCCTCGTGGTTGGCATCGCCGCTGGCCACGCCCTGCTGACCATTGTTCAGCGATCCGCCGAACTGCACCTGGAAGTTCTGGGCGGGCTGCTGGCCATTCAACTGGATGCTCTGCGACTTGGTGGCGGACAGCACGTCCAGGCCATCCAATCCGGGCAGCTGCTGGGGATCCGTGCCGTCGGGCAGCGCCGCCACCGCGTTCTTCTGCGAGGCGTAGCCGGTGTGGTCGAAGTCCAGGTCATTTCCGGAGGGCGGAGGACCGTAGCTGTCCGCTGGTCCAGTCACCAGTTGCTGGGTGTGCTGCTCGGCCACGGGAATGCTCTGCGAGATGGCGTTGTAGGCTCCGGCGGAGGCGGCGGACACGCTGCCGAACTGCTGTTGCACCTGCTGTTGCACCTGCTGCTGTTGCACCTGGTAGCCATTGCTGCTCACCAGGTTGGGTCCATGTCCGCAGTCGTGGATGATGATGGGCTGCTGCTGCTGCTGCTGCTGCAGATTGAAGCGGGGTGCCTGCTGCGGCAGCGGAAGACCTTGGGAGTGGAACTGCGAGGCACTGTAGCTGTTCTCCGAGTGGTGGTGGTGCTGCTGCTGCTGCTGTTGCTGCTGGAAGAAGAGGGGTGTGGGGGGCAGGTACTGCTGCTGCGGCGATGGAGGCGGACCCAGGGGTCGCACATTGGCCACTGGCGGTGGTGGGGGCAGGTACTGGGGCTCTGGTGGCGGCGGTGGTCCCGGTGGTCCGAACTGCTTCTGGTGGATGAAGGCGGGTCCGGGCTGCGGGGCGGGCAGCTGCTGCTGGAGGATCACCTGGGGGGCAGGCGGGGGTGGTGGGGGTGGCTGATACAGGGCCTGTGGCGAGGGCAGGGCCGGTGGTGCGGATCCCGCCAGAGCAATCTCATTGGCCGCGGGCGGAATGTAGGTGGCCGGTTGCTGCTGGGGCTTCACTCCGAACTGATCCAGATGCTGCACGGTGGCTCCGATGGATTCCAGGAGGCCGGCGGGCACTGGTGGGCGGTAGGCCACCGGCTTATTGGGCTGCCCGGCTCCGTGCTGCGGGAATGGCTGGGGATTTCCGGACGGAGGACCGTACTGGATGTTCACATTCGACTGCGACTGCGAGTGGGCGTGGCTGCTGCTGCTGCTGGTGAGGGCGGCGAATTGGGGTGGTGGAGGTCCATAGTTGCCACTTGGGGGAGGGGGTGGAGGTCCGTAGTTGCCACTTGGGGGCGGGGGTGGAGGTCCGTAGTTGCCACTCGGGGGAGGGGGTGGAGGTCCGTAGTTGCCACTCGGGGGAGGGGGTGGAGGTCCATAGCTACCACTTGGAGGTCCGGAGTGTCCAATCGTCTGGTACTTCTGGGCATGCACTGAGCCGGGAGCAAAGCTATCCGACGGTGGCTTGGAGTAAGAATCATCAAGAGAACCAATTGCAGCCTGGAAAGAGACAAGGTTTAGTAGGGTTTATCCCAAGGGTATATCCCCCAGATGCTGCCACTCACCTGCAGAGCTTCGGCTTCGATGGAGTTGCCTCCGGGTCCGGTGATCACGTGGGCGCCATCGCCGCCTCCCTGAAGGGCCACCGCCACCAGCTGTTCGTCCGAGAGTCCATCGATGATGCTGCCACTTCCGCTGCCAGTGGGTCCTCCCACTCCGCCGCCCACACTGTACTGCGTGCCGAAGGAGCCGCCGTGTCCCTGGGCCACCTGGCTGTAGCCGCCCTGCGTCTCGATGTGGTTCTGCTCCACGTAGGCGCCCACCGGAGCCGGGATCGGCTTCCAGCCGTCGCAGGCCGTGTGGAAGGGCGCCTGGGAGCCGCTCACGCTGTGCGTGTGTCCCGAGGAGTCGATCTGGATCTGCACCTGCTTCAGCGGTCCGGGGCCACTGGGCCCGGAGAATCCGGAGTGTCCAGAGTGTCCGCCGTGTCCGGCGCCGCTCAATATGATCGTGGTGGCCGGTCCGCTTCCGGGCAGGGCCACGGGCAGCGGGGGCGGTCCGTAGTTGGGGGCGGGGCGTCGAAGTGGGGCTTGGAGGGCAGGTTCAGCGGTCCGGAGGCGGGCGGTCCGTACGAGGTGGCCGGCTGGTGGGCGGGCTTAAACAGTGGAGCGGCATGTGGCGAGGGCAGCAACTGCGGCGGTGGTGGTGGTGGACCGTACTGCGGCTTCGGGGGTCCGTACTGCGGGGCAGGGCGGTGCTGGATCTTCTGTGGGGGCGGGGGTCCGTACTGCGGGGGCGGGGGTCCGTACTGGGGCTTCGGCGGTGGGGGTGGGCCGTACTGTGGTGGTGGTGGACCGTACTGGGGGGGCGGGCTGCGGGGGTGGGCCGTACTGGGGCGCCGGCTTTGGTGGCGGCGGACCGTATTGCTGGGCCGGCTTGTGCTGGATGTGGGGTGGTCCGTAGAAGGGCTTGGGCACTCCGAAGTGGGTCTTGATCTGCTCGTGAAGCGAGCCACCGCCTCCTCCGCCCCCTCCTCCACCTCCTCCTCCGAGGAAGTTAAGCTTGGGCGGACCGTACTTCAGGGCTGGTGGACCGTACTCCCGGAAGGGAATCTGCTGCGGCACGCCGTACTCGCGGTGGGGCACGTGCTGCTGCGGGGGCGGGGGGCCGTACTGGGGGGGCGGGGCGTGGTGGCGGACCGTAGGTGTCGAATCCCGCCTCGCGGCGCTTCAGTTCCTTGCCGCTGAGCACCGCTTGGGCGGCGCAGAGGCAGCAGGCGGTCAGCAGGGTCAGGCGGAGCAGCATCTGCGGATGGGAGATGTGGGTCAGTCATTTGTCAGGATAACATCTGGCTGGAAATTGGATGGCCACGAGCAATTGGACCGGAAGCTAAACTCTTCTAGACACACACAAAAAAATATTACTCAAAATAGCAAGCTCAATACACTCGTAAAAAAATATCACACATAATTTAAGTGGTAGCAAATGCGGTTAAAATTATAATGTGTATATTACTTCAGAAATATTGGAATGTTAAATAAGCCATAATTTTTAAAATCCATATATAATTGGTAGAAATATCAACCCTATAATTAAAGTCTAGCCACTTTCTATATTCCATACTTCATTTATCAGAATTAAAAACTGTAAAGCATTGAAACACCTTAACACCTTTAGACAATAATACCCAATTCGTAAAGTAATGTAAATGTGAATCTAAAAAATATATCTAAAGCAAATGGAAAATTGTAATTCCAAATTTAGTAATTTTTCTTCCTCGTTTTGGTTGTCTTATGTCAGTTTTTTGGAGAGATAACAAATGATTGCGGAAGAAAAAGTTTTAATATGATGGGTTCGTCGGCAGACCGACATCGTAATGTTCATTGAGTGGCGTTCGCACAAAGTGTCTCCAGTTTCCATGCATCCACAGCCCGACCTCGAACATCAACCCATCGGCCGCGTCTCATTTGTCAGCTGTCCCGGTGACCTTTTTGGCCGCCGGCAACTTGTCAAGGCTTGCCAGAGGTCACAGGTCCTGGGTTCATTCGCCAGCTCTGCCAGGTGTCGTTTTCCGGGGGTGCGAGTGTGTGGGTCGAATGAAGGCCCCCTCCCAGGTTTGTAACCATAATCTCCGCTAATTTGCAGACCTCCGACCTGCCTCCATTTACTTTGGCTGTCAACACTCCACAGCAAGGTTAAGTGCGTAGTTAAAACACTTGGTTCATGTTTTAAATATAATTTTCATTTCCTACAAGAATTATGTAAAAGCAAACGTTTGACAAAACTTTTCGAGATTAGATAAAATTGACTAAGCTCCTCAAATTCCATATACTATTTTTATGTCGTTTTAAATTACTTTACATTTGTACTTCGAAACAACTTTTATTTTTATTACATTAATTATACAAGATTTTGTCTAGGTTCAATTAAAATAAGCATTGCTATAAACCATTAAAAAGTGATCATTAATTATTTTGGCCAATATTTAACAATTATATTCCAAAACATTTCAATTGCGCATTTGGAAAAAAAAAATTTTAATTTATAATGATCAAATTATAACAGACTTTTAACTTCACATTATTTAACTACGTTTGAAGAAAGAATTGCAACAGGTTTTAATTCTATTAAACAATTTTCATTAATTATTTTACCCAATATTTAACAATAATATTTCCAAACATTTGAATGGCCAACTCTTTTTCAAGAAATATTTTGATAATTAAACAGTGTTTTTTATGCCCTAAAAATGATCTAACTGCAACTTAAATAAAAACATTGCTAAATCTTCAAATGCCATAAAACAATCTTCATTAATTATTTTGGCCAACGAGGACGCGCTAATTGATCCATTAAGGCCAAGTTTGTTGCGTGGTGTAATTGGCATTGCGGTTGCCCAGAAAACGTCGGCGTATTACGCTCTAATTAAAACATAACCCGGGCAGACTCGCCACCATCATTACCATCACCATCTTCATCATCATCATCATCATCATCATCATCATAGTCATAGTCATCAGCATGGATGTCGCCGCTCATCATGATCATCAATAATTCAGCAGGCAAACGGCGACTTCGTGCCAGCGAAAAAAACTCAAAAACCAAAACAAAAGCACAGAAATAACCGAAAATAACCATTGGCCAAGACGGACGGGGGCATTTAATTGGTTTTATGTTTGACAACAAATGCTGCGGCAAAACAAACAGCCAGCAAATAAGCCACTCAAAACGGGCCAAAACCATATCAAAACGGCGCTTCTTTCAAAATTCCACGCACAACACGCGATTTAGCCGCAGTACGATGATACCGGTAATGCCAATAAAAATAGCAGAGCCACGACCGAAAGATCGACCGCAAAAGGTGACGAAGCTGGAATGCCCTTACATAAGAAAGTGATTGGGGTGATGTAAGAGGTGAAGGTATTCGGAGATGAGTAAGTTATATACCCAGTGAATCATGGCTTTTGAAAGGCATTTCTGTTTGGACACCTCCATTATTCATGGTATCTGTGATAAGCGAGTTAAACGCTATTCATTTATATAACCCCGCTTAGAGACTATAATATAAAAATATAAATAAAAACTTATTTATAAATTAATTGAAATAAGAAAGTATTGGTAGCTTTGAAGACCTCTGGTTTTTTTTTACAGCCAATAAATATATGGCCAAAAACTAATGTCACATAAAATATGCAACCATTCTCTACCCTCTACAACCATGAATAATTTAATAACAGTGGTGGAAATGGAAAATAAAAATTAAAATGTATGCATTTGAAACTCAATTTACATTAACACTTTTTTCTACTTAACTTTAACATATTTCACTTGAACTTAAAGATGTTTTTAGCCTGAAATGATGGCCCAAATACTCTTATACGTATACCTTACCCAACAGCAATTTCTGCCTGAGAAGCGAAAACCGAATTCGAAAGAACCAACCCATAATCTGCGAGGCAACGGTAATGGCCAAGTTATTATGCCATTTACTATGACTGGATTGCATAATGCCGGCAATCAGCAATCTTTGGAAATGGAAAAGTGCACCTCAATGGTCAGCGATGCGCATTGAATACGAGTATCACAATAAGCCACAAAATATGTTGTTACTTTTGTTTTTGAGCTTTTTTGCCTTTTTGGCCAGCGGCGGTGTTAAAATGTCATAAGCGCTCGAAACGGAGGAGAAGAAGATACTTCGGGCCGAAAAAAAAAGGTAACTTTCACTTGGCTCCGGGTGTTTCTCCATGTATCTGCGTATCTGTGAGGTTCGTTTCGTGGGGATGAGATGAGTAGGTGTCACAAATGATGGCAGTGAAATTATGCGCCGCATAATGAAAATACATTATAAAAGAAATGGCAAACAATTAAAGGGGGTGATGCTGATGGTGTGGCCATGGGCGGGGGTGATGGGGGCGGAGGGGGGTCGACCGTGCCCATTGTCTGTGAAGCGTGTGAATTGACCCGCATGTGGCCAGCATTTGCAACTCAATTCCATTCAAGTGCTCTTTCGTAGACTTTGTGCCCCGTATACGAGTCACTAAGTCAGTGGTCGCATGTGTACAGTTGTGCTCAAAACAGTAGTGCCAATGTGTATTCACAGATTCAATTCAATGGGTCTTGAATTATTAATAATACAATTATAAAAAACGTAGTGCCCAACATTTCCCTTGGAAAAAACGTTCTCCTGCCCACCACGAAACAAAGTTTATAAAATGCTACATATTGCTTCACACAAGTTGTATGTATATGTCAAAAGTTGTAAATGAAAGTGACTTTTATTTTATTTAATTTAAGTCAAAAACTGAGGCTAAAACTTCATGAATTTATATATATTTTCATCAAACCATATTTTATATATGTGAAGCTATTCATTTATAAAAATGCATTTATCTGACGCATTTAAAGAGCTATTATTTTGATCTCAACTGTTTGTGGACTTCAGTTCACCACCTGTCACTGGTCACTGGTCACAGTTCACGCGGGCGATCACTTCTTCAGTCACGGGTTTAGAGGCCGCTTTCTTTGGCCGGCGTTCGATTTCTGTTCATTAGCATGGGCCACAAATATTTGTTATTGATGCTAAACAATTGACAACAACGGCAGACGGCAAACAAATGAAAAGCAGACCCGGGCAGCAGCGGCAGCAACGGCAAAAAATAACAAACAAATAAAAAACAAACAGACGGCCGGCGAAACTTTCACTCTCGCTGAGAAGACGAAAATGTAGTTCGACGACGAAGGGGGGCAGGAAAATGGGCGGGCTCAGGAAGCGAACTTCGGTTGCCAAAAGGGTTGCCTGTTTGGAAGGGGTTAGGGGGAGGGGGGGCTATAAGTTTTGGCCACAGCTGCCTGTTCTGGCCCAAAAGTCGAGAATCGTAATCTGCGTTAATTAAATTTCCCCCACCGCCGACCCAAAAAGCGGGCAAATGTGAATGCGAAATTATTTATGAATCAATTTCGATAATGAATAAATTATGTCAGGAGGCTCTAGTCCCTGTCCCACGGGCGGCAAATGAATAATCTGGGCCAGGACTTGCCAGGCATTCCCAGTCCTCGGGTCCTGCATCAATTTTCGTTTGGAGCCCGGGCAACCCTCATCAATTAGCCGAGGTCGTGTCGCAAGGTCAAAGGGCAAAGGCGCAGGCGTGCCTGGCAAAAACCGAATCATATGCACGGAAAAACACTAATTTGGTCGAAAAACATCCAATTCTCAAAGTAAGGGGAAAATTTTAATTTCCTGCATCATTTTTCCTTTACTTATTTTAAAACAAACTTATATTTCCAAATTGTTCACGCAAAAAGGGTAAAAGAAAAGTAATTAAATGGCACCAGATAGAAATAAATAAATTTTGAAATCTATTTCTCAAAATTACAAAACTATTTTTTGTACCTCTTATCTGAGATAATATTAATATATTTTTTGGTTTTTCATCCACACATTTTACACCTTGTGCTTATCATTTTAACTGAGAACCTTGCAAAAACTTTTAATGGAAATCTACCTATTAAAACATCAAAATTATTCCCTGTGTATGGTATTTTTTCAAAGTTTTGGGAATCTATCTTCCCCCCGAGGGGCAGATAACTTTTACTTTCGCTGGCATTTCCCTCAAGTCGCGTGGACTTTTCTCCTAATTGGGCTTCTGTTTGAGTTTCTTCCGTAATCCTTTGTACTCGAGTCCAATTAGGGAAACGATTCTTTACCATGCCAGCTGCTGATGGTGTGGGTTATCCTCGGCACTGGGCACTCGAAAAAAATTTGTATCTCCTTCGATTCGATAATGGGCGGCACTGCACACAGAAAGGATTCGGTTAGACTCGTAAAAAAATAAAACAAAAAAAAAACGTATAATTCGCGGCACTCACGGAACACGGATCGCGGTATCGGTTCGGAACGGTTCGAATCGGTTCGAATCGGTTCGGATCGTATGCGTATAGGATCTGGGATCTGATCTGATCTCTCGACAACGGATCGGCGACGGCGTCCGCTGCTTGTCAGTCGCGAGTTGAAAATGCTGCCGCTCAGATGATAACGCCAGCTCATATAGGTAATAGCCCGGCCAGCGTCGACGTCGACGTCGCTGCCGCCGCGCAGCCGCTAAAAAACTGAAGAAACCGAACTGAAGAAACCGAATCGAAACCGAAAGTGAAGAAATTTCGTAAACTCAGAGACGTAGAGACGTAAAACCCAAATGAGCCGGAGCAAGGTGCCGAGCCAAAGGGACAGTGGCAGACTCGGGCGAGAGATTTTCCCTCTCGCGACCGCGACCAGTTTTGCAACATTTTCACATCGATACCTTGGCATCGAAGCTCTGGCTGCCGGCAGCCACAACCTTGCCACATGGGGCACTCCAGTCCGCATCTCTCGCCGCATATGCCAAGTGTCATCAGCGAGTCGGAGTTGAAGATCCTTGTCAAAGTTCAGAGCCTTGAACGCCGCTCAGACGCGATCTTCGAGTGGCTGAGGCCTCTCCGGCTGTTGACAGTGTAAATATTACGAGTCTAATGGGTTTCCGAGCGACATCTTCCTCATGATCGCCGAGTGCCGAGTGCCAAGTGTCATACGGGAAACTTGGCAGTTCCATCATAAGTTGCAAATGGGAGGTTTCCGGGTGGATTGAAACACTCATACTCGCATCTAAAATTGTAAAAATCATAATAGATACTCACTTAGAAAACAAAGTTTTAAAAATCTTTTAAACTGACGATGTTGCATTTAGGTTTCTTATGTCATTTGTTCATTTTTTAATAGCTTACATTTTATAGAATTTTTAAGGTGACGAATTTTTTAGTTATTTCGTTTACCTTTTTTTTCGGTTCATAACATGTCATATTGAAATCTCATATTCTTTTTAAGCTTAGTTTTTGACAGTTTTTTATTAGCTACATCATAACATATCTTATAATCGTAAATACATTTAAGTCTCTATTTTTGACAGTTGTCAAGTAAGTAAGGGATCATTTAGAACTCAAATTACTAATAACAGCCAACAAATATATAAAACTTCTTCTCTTGATAAAGTGTATAATTATTTATTGCTTATTATTATTTTACGCTGAACGAAAATTAGCTGACACTTTCATTGCATTTAAAAGAAATCATTATCCAACAAAGGCTAATTGAAATGCATTTTAAAAACACTTCCATTTTAAACAACCACTCATTCATCGAATGATTTTCCACCTTATTTTTAATTCCCATGTTAAATTCATTCGCTGTCCACTTAAACGTAGCTATGAATTCCATTACTATTCCGATAAATATGTATGTGGTATTTACATAATTCCCATTTTTATATTACTTAATGGTCTCGTCGCCGCTGAAAGCCCAGCGGATTTTCTGGGCTGCAGAGCTAAGCGATATTCATGGGATACATTACTGGGCCAACTGGCGGTAGAACAATGTCAACACACTTGCCACAATGTCCGATGCCGCCCCCCAAACTCTTCTTTTCCCCTGTCCCCACACAAAGTTGAGTCATAAAAGTGGTTCGCCTGCCAACTTGTTGAAGAAGTTGCAGCCGCTCGAGAGATCAAGTTTTCATCTTGGTGACCAGGGCGACTTGTGGAGGGGTCTTGAGTCTCGAATCTTGAGACTCGAGTCTTGGGTCTTGAGTCTTTGGGGAGATGGCGATGGAGATGGAGCTGGAGTTGGAGATGCGCGGCCTTCGCGTGACTCGATTTCGCTTTCATTTGCATTTCTTGGGCCACTCTCTTCTCTGAATTTGTATTTCGCCTTGGCGGCAGCCACACCATCCTCATCTGCATCCCAGCACCATCATCAACATCATCATCAGCATCATGAGATCATCATGATCGTCATGGTTATCTCAAGACTCTCGGCCAAAACAAAACCCAGAAAACGGGAAAGAAACGCGCTGGCTTTCTCGAATTGGGGAATGATTTCAGGAATCCACTCCTTTTCCCCTATTGACTGACTGTAGTTGAAAAAAACAAAAAAAGAAAGGAGCCTTAAATTGGATACAGAACTGGACAATACCCTTTTCGCAATACAAATACTTTTAAGCAAGACTTTAAAATTATCGGGATATACTAAAAAACGTTTATCTTAAATAAGCATGTGACCCAGAAACCTCTTTTAATTAAAATTGCAAATTGAAATAAAAAAAAAATGAAAGAAAGCCATGATAGATGAGTAAAAATATTAGTTAATAAAGAAAAATCATTATTTCTATGTATATTTCTTAGAAGGGTGCCTCAGAATTGTTACTAATTATAAGACTTATTTTTATTGTAAGTCGTAGAAATTGCGTAGATTTTTACAGTTTTTGATCTATGTATGTATAAATAAGCAATACATGATAATTTACAATTCTATATATAAACATAAATTATATTTAATAAGATATGATGATGCAACAGAAAGCAGTTTAAGAGGCAATAGCCTCTCAGCTAGTGTATTAAAGAAATCCGAAAATTCGCCCAACCCGGTCGCCAGACGCCGTCCATTTGGCCAATTGGTGACCCTCTTCCCTGCTGGCCAGGTTACTTCACAGTTGCTGCTGCTGCCGCGTTTGGACTTCCTGCTGTTGCATCTTGCGGGTGCCGCATGGCCATCATGTGACCAGTTGCAGCAGCAACGGCAACAACAACTGGTCACAGCAACTAGCAACATGCAGCAGCAATAGCAGACAGCAACAGCAACTGCAACCAGCAACATTCAACTGAGTGGCAATATTTTTCGGCCGCATCTGTTGTCATTACACATTTAAAATATCCCCTACATATATATATATATATATACCTGCACACTTATTTATATATGTTTATATATCTATTGGTGCCACGCGAATGTGTGGGTATATTTTTTTGTTTTTCGTCGCTCGCAATTATTTGCGCTTTTACTTCCTCGAGTCTTGCGTTGATGGCTACTTTCGTTTCGAGCTCTAAATGGGTTCATCGGAAGAGCCCTCCAGCTCGATGGTGATAAGGGTCCAAAAAGCGAAGACAATCGGGCATGCCCTGCATCTAAAACCGAATTGCCAATTCCCTTTAAATGCAAAATTACCTAATTTGATTTAAATACTAAGATATTTCCTGATAGATAGCTCCTGATACCTAGTTTTTAAGCGAAAATCTTTTAATATAAAAAAGTTTCTTATTAAAATCTATCTAATCGAAACACCCATTAATACAAATTAGGTGATAACTCTTAAATAATTTAAATTGAACTTTCTTTTGACTAGCTTGCTTTATTATGGTCCCAAAATCACTTTCTTTGTCAAGAGCTATTTATTGGGTATCCAAATATAGTCATCTTATGTGTACATATGTAAGTCCAATCACGAACTGATGAATTAATCTTGCAAAGCGACAACTTTTTAATTTCCTTGGACTATGGAATAAACATACAATATTTAAAAAGATAAGGATGTTTTATTTTTACAACACTATTACTTTATACCAGAATGTTTATATAAGTTGCTTTGGCAAATATTTAAGTTGAACAACCATAAGCCTTCATCTTCATTATTTACCTACCCAATAAATATAACTTTAAGAGCTCTGTTCAATTTTACTTAAAAATCGTGTCTTACAAAAGCCACTTTGTGACAATAAATCATAAGTAAAATGTTTCCAAGCCCTTTATTGAGCCAAAACATTTTTACGTCAATTGCCATAAATCGTTGTATAACTATTTTATAGGAAAAGGCCATTTAAGTTGATTGCATTGTTAAAAACAATCGACAAGCTGTCAAGTTTTGCATTAACCAAACTAATTGTCAGTTAACAATTTCCCTGACAATTTAATCTTTGCCCAGTATGAATATTTGTGTAAATAATGGAGAGCCAATTTAAGTGATATAGGTTTTTCTGTTTTAATTGATTTTTTAAATGCAAAAGCTTCAGGATCTATGCAATGGTTAATCATCGCATACCAAATGATTAATTGAAACAATTAACAAAGGGCCTTTCCCTGCACTTGATTGTGTCGTATCGCGAACATGGTATATAGTAACCCGATCCAACCCATTCCGAAGACCCAGATCCGAGACGGAGAGTCAGAGACACGCACAAAACAATTGGGAAAATATTTAAAGAAGTGAAATTGCATTCCAATGTCATGAGGTGTTGCTGTTGCCGTCGAACTGCTGATGCTGCCGTCGTTTTTTGCTTTTTGGAGCTGCTGCTGCTGCTGCTGCGCCTAGGCCTCGCCCACATTTTGGCCGCCGATTCGGTTTCTGTTTCGGTTTCGGTTTCAGTTTCTCAGGCGGAGAGAGCCCTTAACTTGACTTCAAGTGTAGCCGCACAATTATGCGGGTCCAGTCCCTGTCGTCCCCCATTTGTGCCCCTCCCCCATCACCCCTTCACCACACTCATTCAGCGCCGAGGCCTCCGGCTTTATGTCATGACGCAGGTATTACGCAATCCGCTTTCTTCTCGCTGTCTTTCATTCTCCCACAGACGCACAGTGGTTCACAATTGGCCCAAACGCACACTCACCCGATCTTGCAGGTGCTATCAAAAATGTAAATACTTAAATTGGTAGTGTTCTGTAATATGAAGTAACATCTAGAGCTAGGAAATTATATATATTGAGAACCGAAAGCATGGCAAATTAACAATTCCAAAATCCAAGTGCATACAATACTATTAACGAACTATAAAGATATAAATATAATTAAGCACCATGAATTTAAAAAAAATGTAACACAACCAATGTACTTCTCCATATTTAGATCATCTGTAGAATACCTCCATCTAAAACAGATCTGCTTTGCTATCTGCATATCTGTAATATATATCACACCCTCTTTGTTTTGGAAAAGAATTTGGAAATTTTTTTTATGAAAATTGAATTTCCTGATCAAGTGATCAAAAATCTGCAAATGTCAAAACATAAATAAACTTAAAAATCGAACATGAATGCTATTCATTTATTCTTGATGCGGTTAAAATGAAAATACTTTTTAGATTTCAGAGGGGCTCCAGAGTTTTTATCCAGTTTTCCCCCGCTTTTGCCCCACTGTGCCCTGTTACTATGAC